GTTCTCACCCAAGTAGAGAGGGAAACATCTATGGGTGCCCTCTTCATTTACCTCAACTGGGCACTGAACCTTCAACCCAGGTATGTGCCCTGACCAGGAATCAAATCAGCAACCTTTTGGTGCAGAGGGTGATGCTCAACTGAGTCAATCTGAATGGACAGTTTTTGTTTTGTTTTGTTTTAATCCTCACCCAACAACATGCATTTTAGAGAGGGGGAGGAAGAGAGAAAGAAACATTAATTCGTTGCCTCCCATATTAACCAGGTCTGGGGATCAAACCTGTGACTTAGGTATGTGCCCTGACTGGGAATTGAACCTACAACCTTTTCGGTGTATGGGACAATGCTCCAGCCAACTGAGCCACAGTGGCCAGGGCTTTCTTGAGGTTTTGACAATTGCATATGTAATTTTTTACATTTAAATTTTGATCCATCTGTAATTAATTTTGGTGTATAGGGTAAGATTGGTCCCCATTTATTTTAGGTGGCTACATGATACCATTTACTGAATTACTCATTTTCTTCCCCTGTTAATATCTTGTGTATTTTTTAGTTTTAATTCTTAGAATTAACAGTTAGCATAATTTATCTAAAAGTGGCAAACTTTGTTTTTTCTTGGCCTGAAAATGCCCTATAAATATTACCATGTGCTATTTTCTCATGCTAGTGGGCTTTCCATGATAGTCTACCTTGAGATCATGTCTGGTTTTTATTTTTGTTTTTGGGGAATTATGTCTCTGCTTTGATGACTAATAAGCTTTGGGAATGGAACAAATTTAAAGAACTATGTTCTTTTTGTAGACACATAGGGAGTTCATTGTTCCCCTCTGAAGGAGCCAGAAAGAAATAGTTGATGAATTTTTAATGTTTCCTACATCCTTCGTGATATCGTACTATGTTAGTACAGTTTTGGTAATATTATTATACTTAAAATCCTTTTATTCTTGAAATATTAATGTTTATTGCATATAATATTATTATATGTAAGATCATTTTTCTTGAATAATTTGTGCTTATTGCATGCAACATCATATTTAAAATCATTTTTCTTGAGATATTAAAAAAGAATAACATTTTATATTATAAATAATTAACCAATGGAAATAGTAGGGGCCACAGATATACTGTTTAAGGTGATATAGATTTGGAGGTGTATCTGCGAAAATTAATTTAAAATACACATTTTGACATTCAGATTTTGAAATTAAATAATGTGTCAAAGTAAAAGAATTGTGAATAAAAAATGACAAGTGATTTTCCTTGTCAAGTTTACAAATATTCTGTAAAATGTGTGATTTGTTTTTTTTTAAAAAAAGACAACAGACAGATATTTGTTTAAAGTATCTTAGTCAGAACCTGACATCACTATCACTCCTCACTCCTGCCAGGGATTTTTTTTTTTTTTAAGCACAGGCTTTAACTATGTTTTTAATTGCTTTTTAGAAAGAGAGGATGGGAGAGGGATAGAGAGATAGACACATCCATGAGAGAGAAACATCATCTATTAACTGCCTCCTGCACAGTCCCTACTGGGGATCAAGCCCACAATCAGGGCATGTGCCCTGACTAGAATCAGACTTTGACCTCTTGGATCCTGTGTGGACTCTCAACCACTGAGCCACACTGGCCGGGCTCTGTCAGGGATTTTATGAAGATGTTCAAGAGGCCCATAGGGATGAAAGTTTCAAAGTTTGTTTCTGAGTGGAAAAAAAGAAGAAACGTCATTTGAACATGCCCAAATCACTTTTGTCTAAGTGCTATTAGTGATATAGGAGTCCCTCAATATCACTTTCAACTTCACTACTGAGAAAGAGAGAGCTGATCAAACTGTTTACTGTGGTTCTCTCTACAAAATAGCTCTGGATCTATGGCCTCGCTGTAAACTAGCTGTTCTGAGTGATGGTGCATGTGAGCCTGAGGGGACTCTTGTCCTGAATTCCTGTGGTCAAGGGAACACAGGTCATTGCAGCCCAGAGCAGAGCACTTATCCAAAGCCCAATTCAGGGGTACAGTGTCTTCTCACACTAGTGCTTTTTACGACTGTATTATATTTTCTGTATTCTGCCTTCTTTGGCTCTTTTCTCTAGTTTTATAGTTGAAGATAATTTTGAAACTGCCTTCCAGCTACCTTTCTTTTGCAGACAAAACTATCTTAAACACTTCTTTTCTCAAAATATAGGTAGTCAATCTTGAATTACTACAATCTCAAAATGTATGTACTTATATATCATCCCTTACTTAATTTTCCTTCCTCAGACTAATGCCATTTATTCTGTGGACATTTTTCTCGACCAGCAGAAGTCAGTTGATGGAGGAAATGTCTTATTTCTTCATTTTGATTAATTTCTTTAAAGTGTAAAAAGTATTTTGAAAATGTTCAAGTTTACAAATGTTTACTCTGTGTGCTTGGCAGTTTACAATATTCATGATTTTCATTAAAGCTCTCTCATCTCCACAAAATAGGGACTCTTTATTGAGGGATATGTATATGCTCAGTTTGTAGAAATGTCTTTATTAAAACTCCATCATTAATATTGAAAATGTATAAAAGATTTATCAAGTAAACTTATGACCTACTTTCATGTGTATTATGAAGGGAAACAACATAAGAAATGAAGTAAATCAGTTTACAAATGAGAGTAAATAATTGATGCCAAGAAATAATTTCATTAAAAGCCAAAAAATAAATAAGGCAATCAAAAATCATTATAAATGTCATTTGGCTTTTTTTTTTATTGCTTAAAGTATTACAAAGGGTATTACATATGTGTCCTCTTTTTTGATTTTCCCTATTCTTTTTACCCCCTGTCAAAATTTCACCCTACTTATATACCCTATGTCCAATCCCCTGCTCTAAATCCTTATACACCTTTCCCTTATCTTCCTTCACTATCCAAATTTTTTTCTTCTTCTTCTTCTTTTCTCTCTCTATTGTTTATTGTTGTTTGCTCGATTGACGAGTATATTGGGGGTTTTTTTAGGATCGTTTGTGAGGTTAGTCTGCTTATTCTTTTTATTTTTCTCCCCCCGCCCCCCGGTTATTTCTGTGCTTCTGTTTTCCCTTGCGTCGCTTGTTATTATTGGTTGTTTGTAGTTTGTATTCATCTCCAGGAATCTGCTGCTGTAAATTGTTGGTATTAGTGGCGGTTCTTTAGGAGTTTTCTCCTCATATAAATAGTCTCTTCCCCTCTTATACTTCACTCTCTTTTCTCTCTTACTTTTTTTTTCTTTTTTTCCTCTTCTTTTTTTTCCCTCCCTTTTTCCAATTTTATTTTTGCACTCCTTTTTTTTTCTTTTTTCTTTCTTTCTTTTTTGTCTTCTACCTTTTTCTCTTCTTTCTTCCTTATCTCCTAACTCTCTTAGCTCGGGTGGCCACCTTTATTTGGGGTTATTGATATCGTAAATACATTCGTGTTCAGTGCCTGGTACGTTGTGCCTTGTTGTGTTGTATTTTGTGCCTTTAAATCAACGCAGCAGATTCAAGCAACAGCGGCCTCCTGATCTCCACACGCTCTGTCTGGGGAACAGTTACTGTGTGTGAAGCCTCCCTCCACCTGCCAGAAGAGCCACCACAGCTGTGAACAGCACCCACCAGAGGCCCTGCTATCAACGGAGGAGCCACTGCTACCACAACCGCCCAAGGAGCAACCACACCCCGAGGAACCACTGCCACCCAGGGAGCAGCCACTGAACGACTCAACATCTAGATATGTCAGTGAGATCAAACATGGGTAGACAAAGAAACCCCCAAATGAAAGAAAAGGAGGACTCGCCAGAAAAGCAGCTAAGTGAGACAGAGGCATGCAACATGACGGAAAAAGAATTCAGAATAAGGGTCTTAGAGTACATGCACCGGTCGGAGGAAAAAATCAATACCATATGCAAGAAGCTAGAAGAAACAGATGAAAAAATCAACAACTTAAGTAAGGCCCAAGAAGAAATGAAGAGTGATATAGCTGCCATAAAAAACTCCATTGAAAGTATCAACAGTAGACTAGGAGAAGCGGAGGACCGAATTAGTGAATTAGAAGACAAGGAAGCAAAACACACCCAAACTGTACTGCAATTGGAGAAAAAAATTAAAAGACAGGAGGAGAGCCTAAGGGAGCTTTGGGACAACATGAAACGAAACAACATACGAATAATAGGGGTGCCAGAACAACAGAAAGATGAACATGGATTAGAAAACCTATTCGAAGAAATAATATCAGAAAACTTCCCTGAGGTGGGGAAGAAAAAAGTCACACAAGCCCAGAGAGTCCCAAACAAGGTGAATCCGAAAAGACCCACACCAAGACACATCATAATTACCATGGCAAATGTTCAGGACAAAGAGAGAATCTTACAGGCTGCAAGAGAGAGACGGAAAGTTACATACAAGGGATCTCCCATTAGATTATCAAATGATTTCTCAACAGAAACACATCAGGCCAGAAAAGAATGGACGGAAATTTACAAAGTGATGCAAAGCAAAGGACTGAATCCAAGAATACTCTATCCAGCAAGGCTTTCATTCAAAATTGAAGGGGAAATAAGAAGCTTCACAGACAAAAAAAGGCTAAGGGAGTTTATCACCACCAAGCCAGCCATGCAAGAAATGCTAAAGGGACTGGTGTAAAAAGAAGAAATAACAAGCTCAGAAAGAAAACAGCCACACACACAAAAAAAGAAATGGCTACAAACAAGTACCTTTCAATAATAACTTTAAATGTAAACGGACTAAATGCTCCAACCAAAAGACATCGAGTGGCTGAATGGATAAAAAAACATGACCCATACATCTGCTGTCTACAAGAGACCCACCTCATTAGAAGGGACTCACACAGACTGAAAGTGAAGGGATGGAAAAATATCTTTCAGGCAAATGGCTTTTTTTTTAATGGCAAATATTTTTATTTATTCCTACCTAGTTGTTTGTTTTTAGTTGACTAATGTTATCTTTTAGTCCATCATAATAATTTTTTATTTTTACTCTTAAGGATTCCTATGTTTTTCCCTTAGGCTTGAATCACCAACCAGGTCCTTGATAATGGAGGCTCCTCGAGGGGTCCAGGTGCGAGCTGCTGCAGGAGACTTCAAGGCCACCTGCAGGAAGGAGCTCCACTTGCAGTCTACAGAGGGCGAGGTGAGTTCCCAGGGTAGCAGGTGGCTCTTTACTGGTGAGAGTCCTTCCTCTCAAAGTGTATGCATATGGTTCCAGCTGAGACATAGAGCAGTGATAGCGAACCTTTTGAGCTCAGCGTGTTAGCATTTTGAAAAATCCTAACTTAACTCTGGTGCCGTGTCACATATAGAAATTTTTTGATATTTGCAACCATAGTAAAACAAAGACTTATATTTTTGATATTTATTTTATATATTTAAATGCCGTTTAACAAAGAAAAATCAACCAAAAAAATGAGTTTGCATGTCACCTCTGACACGCGTATCATAGGTTCGCCATTACTGATATAGAGAGCTGCTTCTTAAGATAGCAATGATGACCATATTAATACCCCTTCTTGAATATGAAATTTGGTAAACCTAATGTTATTTTCTTAAGTCAAAGCTCTATTTTATATTGAAAGATATTCATATGTCAAGAATGAATGGGGCATCTGAGTTCCTGTAGTTTCAAAATTGGCAGATACACATACTAAATGTCAAGATACTATCAAGAATAAATTAATCTTTTTTTAAGTTATATTTTGGTCTTGAAAACATTTTCGCAAAAAGTTCCTTGAATGTTTGTTTCTATAAAATTAATGCCTAGTTCGGCTGGCATGTCTCTGTGATTGAGCATGGACCTATGAATCAGGAAGTCATCAATTCCTGGTCAGGGGAGAGGCCCAGGTTGCTGGCTGATCCCTGGTAGGGGGCGTGCAGGAGGCAGCGATCAATGATTCCCTCTTATCATTGATGTTTCTATCCCTCTCTCTCTCTCTCTTCCTCTCTCAAATCAATGAAAAAATATATATTTTAAAAAAATAGTACCTATATATTTTTTAAAGGAAAACAAAACGAAAATTTATTTTACTATTTAACCGTATTGTTATTTCCTGGGTTAGGAGATACTCTTTAATAGTCTTTTCTGTTCACTTTATTTCCCCTAAGAATCTCCTTTAAGTCTATTGTCATTCTTTTAAAAACCATCTGTTTTTTCACTGTCTGCTCTAAAGAACCTTTTGTCTTCGGTCTTCCACTCTTGCACTCTATTCCCTTTACCTTATTGCTCTAAGCATGTGATTGTTGTGTCTGCAGAGTCGCATTTTTGTCAATTCTGGCAAATGACTCAGCAGATGTCTTCACATAGTACCTCTCCTCATTGTCTCTGTGGACTTTTTCTGGAACTCTGAAGAAATGCTAAGGCTTTGCATTGTTTTGCCCTCAGATCCCTAAGCCTCTCCTTCCTGCTTTCTATTTCTTTGCCTCCTTGTGCCTCACTCTGTTTATTTATTCAGATCTGCAGGCCCAGGTTCCTCTTCGGTATCTTATCGCATACTTAATCCCTACATTGAGCTTTTAATTTTACTAATTATGTTGTTCATTTCTAGGATTCTCATCTGTTGTTTTTTCAAATCTGCATGGACATTTTTGTAGTTTCTCTTTTGTGTTCTTGTTTGTTTTTAATTCTACCTTAATTATTTCAAAGCCTTCTACATAATACATATTCTATTCTGTATATTTCTACTGTGACTCCCAAAGCCCTTGAAGGGCTAAATCTGTTGTATAGCTGTTTATGCCAATCAATTCCCTTAGTATTTTCTTCCTTTGTGTGCTTATTTATTTTGTATTATGAGCTTAGGAAGTTTAAATTGAGAAGAAAAAGAATGGAAGGCTAATTTAAGAGCTGTTCTGGAGCATTTTACCTCTTCAGATGTAAAGATGAGAGCATAAATTAATAGAATCAAAGGGAGACATTCTTTTTTTTTTTTTACTTTTATGCCATTATCTCAGTTGTTGATTCAAGATACATTTTAATTATATATTTTGTTTCATTTTTATAAACAAAGTCATTGTCAGAACCACATTAGCATCTTATTACAACTTATGTGATCTAGAAATATGCTTTATGATATTTAAAAAATATATCCATATTACCTTCTAGGGTTCTTTCCACTTCTATTACAGACTACAATACTTTGTCTTCCACAGCAAGACAGAAAACTTTCTAAATATCTCACATCCCTTTTAAAGAGTTGCTTTTATCATGCTAATAATTCATTCAAATTATTCATAGTGAATCATCCCATAAGAAATATTGGTGGTTATTAATCTTTGTTCTTTTCTTACTTATGCACTACTTTACTGATATTCTTTTATTCAAAATATCAGCAAATTCCTTGGGTCAATTACAGGTTGGCATTTAATTGTGAATTGAGTAAAATGCTATAAATAAATCATATCCAGAGGTATTCAGCTGTGGTCATTTTTATATTAATAAAACAAAGATGTAGAAAGGCACAGCACTTTATAGTAGAATAAATAACATGTAATTTTCCTACAAAGAAATGTGAAATGATATAAAAATCTTTCTCTTTGCTTCATTGACTTTGCCACAGAAAGGTAAACTGATCATTTATTAAACAATATAGAAATATGTCAAATCTATCTTTAGATAGTTTTTGAACTAGTTAAAATCAGAACAGGCATAGCATTGAGGTTACCAAAATAATGGACAATGTGTGTAAAATGAAATTACACTCAAAATCAGCACTGTATAAGATGCAGCTATTTCTCACAGTGTTACAAGGAATTTCAAATTCAGCTCTGAGGACCATGTGAATCATAGCTGTAAGGACGCTGGACATGTTATAATAGTATATGCAAAGCAATGATGTAGTTACATGTTGCAAGATCACAGAGGAAGGAGAAAACAATTTTTATTTTGCAAACTGATAAAGATTTTTCCTACAGCAATAGGTCTGATTTCAACAGGGAAGGATGGGATAAATGAATTCTTAGTGGAGAGAACACAATGGCCCATGAGTTAAAACCTCAGGGGTGTAATTTTGAGTACCAGAAAGAGTTTCCAAACAAATGGATTACATGGTTTATAGGACAATATAGACTAGAAATATCAATTTGAGAAGTTGGAAAGTGAACAGTATTACCAGCAGACAGAAAGAGATACGAGCAAGCCCATGAGCAAGCACATCCATGCTGCGGGAGCCTGGAGAAGCTGAGCCATCTTGGGTTGAAAGAATCAATATATATTGTCCCTTTTACCTCTTGACTTATTTTCTATCTAAGCCAATAAAATATAATTTTCTCTTTTTGAAGGCCCTCTTCATTTTAATTTATCTATTAATCAAATATGCCTCCCTTATGTGGGTGAGGATACAGTTTGGATATCAGAAGTTTATGGAATTAAGTATTGTCATGGAGCTAAATATTGTCCTGAGCAGCCCCTAAGTGGATAGGAGAGCTGGAGGGTAGTGCTATAAAGCTGAAGTGGGCCAGCCACACACCATAAGGTTCAAGGCTAAGGCCACTGATGAGGTCTCTACATCTGTGCTTGCTTTCCAAGGCTGCCACCTGCTTGCCCTTCCTGTATAAAAGCAGCGACTCTCTGCATTCATTCCCTCAGGCTACACCAGTGGAAAGACAATGAGCTCCCAACTATAAAAGCCAGTGTAGCAGCACGGGGTCAGCAAGGCTCTGCAAATCACCGGGGCTAACCAGTGACAAGTATTTCTGTGTTTATTCATAAGTGAACCATTCACAATATCTTATAGTCATTTGATCGACCCCACATGACCTCCTTATCCACATGTTCTTTAGCTTTCCATGTTCCACTGTTTATCATCTAAGTCTCAAGTTTCCTTGGGCAAAACACCAGCCCTAACAGGTCTTCAGAGATCTCACCTCCAAATATGCAGACCCAAACCCCACCATTCCAGAGCTTGCCCCTATACTATTTTTAAAACTTAAGAATGACTTGCCATCACAATGCACCCTGTCTCAGAGGAGAAGATAGCTGTAGAGCATTGGGGCTGTGCCTTGGGAATGTAATTTGCTCAACAAAGCATGGCAGCTAAGCCAATAGGAGTGTTTGTTGTGTAGTCTTTCTCACTAGGCCACATGATAAAGCTCCGAGGACTGGAGAATGCGAAAATGAATTAAAATGCAGTTTTCCCCCGTAGATATTTTTGAATGCGGACACCATTCGGCTGGGAAATCTGCCCACCGGCTCTTTCTCGTCTGCACCCAGCTCTCCCAACCCTCGACAGACAGTGTACGAACTGTGCGCCTGCCCCAACGGCAAACTCTACCTTTCTCCGGCAGGAGTGGGTTCCACCTGTCAGTTCAGCAGCAGCATCTGCTTGTGGAGCTGAAGTGACTGATTCCTCCTCACACCAGAATAGCCTTTTGTTCCTGTCTGTCTGCTTCACGGTTCTGCTCGGTTTCCCTTGTGATCAGTCCAGAGCTGCTTCAAATGGTCCACGGAGCAACTTCTCCCGGCGTCAGCAGGGATTCGCCTCCACCTTCTCGTGTGAGTTACTGTCCCGCTCAGCACAGAGGGGGTGCGTGGCAGGACAGCGGAAGCTCGTCTTCAGCAGGAAAACTGGATCATAACTTTGGCTCAAAGGGAGAATAACATAGGTGCCTTTGCTACATGAAGTGAAGCACACAGTTTTAGATTTTTGCAGGACCTGGATATGAACTGCACATATGTCCATTACCTAGATGAAATTCCCTATGTCCAGTGGCAAGATGAAATGGTTAACCCTGTGAGAAAACTAACACGACAGTCTGAAAGCACAATTTTCCATTCATCTTTTTAGATGTACACTTCCCCCGCCCCGAGAATTTTAAAATTTTAAAGCATTATGTAATGCTTGCTTTACTAAAAATTAAATTCAATACATGGTTTTTAACAAAACAAAACAAAATAAGACAGAATCCCACCCTGAGTTTTGTTTCTTTAAATTCAATGTGTTGTTACTCGTTGTCTACTATGTCAAGAATTTTGTACATTAGCTAATTTTGAAAGCACTCAGCAATATATTTACAGAATTAACCATATGCCACCCTGCTGTCATTGGTCAGGTCTGAATGTCCTTATGTAATATTTACTTGGCTATTGCATGTGACATATTTACTTTTAGCAAAACATCTAATTTATTGCGATATAAGAAAGGATTAAGAGGGGCATACAGGTAGGTGGTGTAGATCCACATGCTATTTGTTACACGTAGGTTCTAATGGTACAATTTTTGTTTGCACCATTCACTTTATCCTTGACTCAGACTGATAAATTCAAACATCCTCTAAATAAATACTAATGTGCTGCATAGTGCTGAGAATGGATTCACTTTCCATTGGAGTACCATCTTCAGAAGTATATCTATGTATTTTTCACTGGAGATCAATATTTAAGGACAGTAGAAATTAAATTTAAAATTCCTGCTCAAGTAGTAAAAGAAATATAAATGCTAACAAATGTTGAAAATGTGTTTACATCATTAGATTCATATTTTAAGGAATTTGTTCTTTCAGCCCTTAACATTTACTTTTGTCAGACTCTTAAGCTGCCCTCCTACCAGAAATCATGGTTTCTTCCATTCTTCACTGCTTATTTTTGTAAATTAGCTTCTAAAACACAACACCAGAATACTGTAGGTTCATTTATACAATACTTCTTAACTCAAATTTTTTTGAAACTTACAGAATCCAAGAATGTAAAATTCTATTAAACATTTTCTATTGTGGGAAAATGACTTGGTTACTATAAGGTAAGTCCTTAATTTTCATATGTCAATCAATCTTCCCAGGCCCTCCCATGCACACTGTTCCAGGTGCGTGCGAGCCTCATTCTGAGGGACCCTGACTGTAGACACTGGAGTTCAGGCCTCTGTAGCCCAAAGTAAAGTGGGAGAGTGGGACTTGTTGAGGTTATTGGGGTAGTGGAAGCAGGAAAATGGGTAATGTAAGCAGTGAACCATTTAGCCAGAATTATCTTCTTTGCATGATCCATCATATCAAGTAATTGAGAAAGCTCCATTTCATTAAATAAGTTCTATACTCAGCAGAAGAAGCAGAAAGCTGGTGCAGTCTTATTACTTTTAAAAGAGAATTTAACTTGTGTTTGGGGTTCCTTAAATAAACCTTTAAATCAATATTGGAGGAAGAATTAAGCTATGCTATTGCTGCTATTGCTTAAAAGTCATATCACAACACGAGACTTCAATTTATTTAAGTTAAAATATTAAAATTTAATATGAGAAATTCTCATAATTTTTTTGCAAAATACTAATACAAAGTACAGTACAAGAAATTTTGAGAAATTATGAATGCTAATCACTGTTATGGACTTTTTAGGAAAACACTACATATTAATTTGAGTCATATTTAGGTTGAAAACACCTCTAAATTAAAACAATTAGAAAAGTTCTTAATCAAGAGGTAACAGGTTTGTTTTTGTTGCTTTTTATTAGTAATTGGCTGTGTTTCGAATCTCAGCTCTGTCTTCTACCAATCGTGCGCTGATTTAGGCATCTGCGGACATCTCTAAGCTTCCATTTACTCAACTTTGCAAAAAAAGTATTGAATCAAATGGTCTCTTGAGATTCCTTCCACCTCAAACATGTTCTGATTTCAAAAGCAAATATTCTAGGAGGTGGAAGGGGCCACAGAAATGTTAAGTTATGTCGTAAGAGGAGAACAGATGAAAAGAGTGAGGAGACAAAACCCTGTAAAAACCAAATCTAGTGAGGGGCTGTCAACGTTTGAATTCAAATATATTCTGAAATGTTATAGAAATAATTAAAAAGAAATACATAAGCTAAGAGATTGAGACTATGTCTAGGTGATGTAAAAATATCTGTTCAATTTAGTAGGAAAAAATGTGATACATAAGGCTTTCCTCTCCAATACCAAATAATTGGTGACTGGGTGCTTTAGAGTCCTTAGTTTCTAAGAATAGACTCAGGCCCAGAGTTCCAGCCTCTGTTGAAGACACGGAAAATTGCTCTTAAAAGTCCTTCATTTTCTTATCAAAGGTTTGATTCTTTCCTATAAAGCACTCCCTCCATTGCAGACTACCCAGGCAGATTCATGGTCTGTTTTTTCAGTACCATTTTTACATCACAACATATGTAAATAGAGTCAAGTTTATTTCGTTGCAAATTTAATCTTTTCTAAATCAAACTCAGAAAAAAATGATTCTTTAAGTGTAGTACATGAACCCTAAATTTTGCATTCAGTTTAGCTGTAGAAGACAGAAAGGTGGGGAGCCGGGGGGGGGCGGGGGTAAGAAGGCAAGCAGGTAAAATAGGAAGGAGGAGGGAAGGGTAGGGACTACACCTGACATTTACATCCTAAGCTAGGAATGAACAGACTGAGAAGTAATTGAGTTCAGTTGATGGGACTAAAAGAAAAGAAGCAAAGACGAAAAATCCTTTTTTCTTTCAGAATATTTCAGTAAGATACTTCCAAAAAAAATACACTTCCAAATTTCATGTTTCTTTGGCTCGATGTCGCTAAGATGTCTAGCCTGTACTGCTTTATCCTGTTTTTGTTTGTTTGTTTGTTTGTTTTAGGTTATGAATCATAAGCTTTATAATCTGGTACAAAATTATTTATATAAAGAATTTAAAATAATGCTTCAAATTTTACATTAACCAGAAAATCTTAGAGTTCATACTCCAAACCTTTGAGAATTGAGCCAGGAGTTCTAATTCTAGTTCTGCTCCCCTACTCCTGTGACCTAAATAAATATAATTAATTATTTTGGCCAGAGCTTACCTATCTGTGAGAGGGGTATATCAAACTAGGAGGATGTTTTTGTTATTTTCATCTCTAAATTTAATTGGTTCACTTAAGACTCAGTAATCTTGAGTTCAGTAGCCCAGTCTGAACTGGCATCATTAATCTCCTCTATACCTTACTTGACATGTTGCTTGTAAATGTTGAAATGCAAATCTTCCAGCGTGCTACCCTCTACTCCTTTTTTTCTATGCTCCCTTTCTTGCTCTTACCATTTGAACATTAAAGTCCCTTTTAAAAAATAATGCTTTTTTTGACAGGTTTCAGTAATTTGGTTGACCTTCAAAAGGAAAAGAATATATTTGGATCTTATTAAAAATGACTATTTAGGGAAATAATGGAAACATTTACCAAATGTTAATACTCTGTTGGTCATTCTATTATTATTTATTCTATCAAACTAAAATGCATTGTGTCTTTTTAAAGGTAATTTGATCAAAAAGGTCAATTGCTAAATTTTTTATAATATGCCATTCAAAATTCCTATGTAATTCTAGCATCTGAATTACTCAATTGGATAGTGCCTCATTTTATAAAATTGGCATTTGATACAATAAAACTTCTAATGAGTTATGCCATTGCAAAAATGATATCTCTGAATGAGGCAGCAATAGGTAGAGGGCTGGCGAGTGTTTAATGGATTTACGTGGTTAAATTTTATAGCAGGTCATGTTAAGATCATAACATTCATTAAATTATTGTAGTTAATGCTACCTAATGGCCAAATTCTGTATAGCAAAGCAAACTCACAGTTGAGTTTTGTATTAGTGAGGTCTTGTCACCTTCTCTCAGTAGCTTTGGTCTAGTTAAAACTGCTCATGTGACCCTATTTAAAAATACTTATTTTCTCTATATACTCTTATACATTATAGTAATGAATATTGCAAAGTATCATAAGTAAGATAATATTGTACTTTTATTCTTTTAAAACAATCATAAACTAATGAATGTCCCCCCTGAACATTGTTATTCATATTGTTTAATACTGTAGTTCATTAGTTGTTTAAATCTCAAAGACCAAAGACTGAGATTTCTATTATATTTAACTCTAAAACACTGCTGCTTCTACTAATTTATTCAAATAAATAGGAGGGCTTATAATTATAATGTGAGATAGTAAACATCCTCCTTGCCAGATTCTGAGCTGTAGATGATTAATTAATGCTTTTGTTTTAGAAGGAAACCGTTCTTAGTGTAGTCCACTTACCTTTTACACATGCCTAATAAAATCCTTGTTATCCACAAAACCAGTATGTAAAGACTATATCCCCAAATGGGCCCAGGAGGGATTTACTCAGCTGAGTCACACTTTTTTCATTGCTTGCTAAAAATTCCTTGGAGAATATAATTAATTTGAAATACTTTTAGAACCACAGGGCTATTTTTTATGTTGATTGAAGCGATTCCAATCTTTGAGAAAGTCAATGAAAAACATTAAAGGAAATGAGGTATAATGAACCGTGATTCTTTTTGTTTTTGCGTTCTTAATATCTCATTTGTTTGAATACTTATAAATAAAAGCCAAACAGGGTTAACAATGTGCAAGGACATTCACTAACAATGGAGATGTGTAATTTTGTGTTTCAGTGTCTCGTTATTTTATACAATTCTTTAAACCAGGTCCACTATTCATTTATTTTGTTTTGTAATTTTCATGTAAATGTTTTCTTGTGTATATATGACAAATGGAACTATTTTCTTACACATACTATGCAATATGTTTGTAAAATTGCAATATTACCAAAATAACAAAAGCTGTGCTTTTGTACTCGATCTTGCTTTATGTAAAATCTATCTTTTTCTATTTAAATGGACTATCAGCTCCATAAACTGTAGATAACATATCTATTGAAAAAATCAGTCTATTGTATCTTTTGTTTAGTTTTGGGTAGAGTGGGCTACATTTCTTTTGGGAGAAAATGCACAAAATTTGGCAGTTGGAAACTTCTTTCCTCAGAAAATGAGACCCTTGATGCATGCAATGAGCTCATTTAATTTAAGATCTCTCCTGTAATTCTTGTATTTTGTCCTAATTTTGGTGCTACTGTGT